GATAGGGACATTGCAGCAGTAGGGGAAGGCGACATTGGAGCAGTTCGGCTAGGAACAGAGAAAAATTGGAGATTTTTGAAAAACAATAATGTGCTTGTACAACCCCAACGTAAAAGAGCCATGCCACATTTTTCTTTCTAAAAATCAGGGATGAGAGGAAATTAAAAATAGAATATAAGAGCCTACGAAGCAATAAAACGTTTCACTCAGAAAAGAAGAATCTGGGAGAAATAAATAAATTTAGGATAAAAGCGTCAGCAGATATGCACCTTTTTAAAAGGGACCGAGGAAGAACCATACAAGTCAAATCCAATCTTCATGCTGCGTCCTGCTCAAGTTTTGGATCTTTTACGCAAAGATAGCCAGGAGGCCCTACCCCACATGCCGTTGCGTATGAAGAGAGTACCTGCAGGTCAACAAGACAGTGAGTACTTTGTAGAGAAAAACTCGAAGGTGTACCTTATTACTCTTAGTAAAAACAATTGGAGTGGTTGGCGTGGATCGGAGTTACCAGTACCCTCATAATAGACAACCTCCGGACTTTCTCTGTCTCAAGGTAGCGGGAGGGCGCATCTCGTTGGGAACCCAGCTATGGAGTCGCGGCGCCATTCACGAGAAAATGACAGTGGAAACCGTAATGTGGATTGACAAAACTTCCAACATGGCAGTTATCCAATGCTCGGGCTCACAAAATAGCATTCGTCTTGCCATCCCCTTCTGGGCAATCTATTGGGTGGCGACGCCGTTTGAAATCCCAAACAGGTGAGAAATAAATTGGTCAAAAAGATTGACTACAGGACTGAAAAAGATTATCAATTACTTTAGAAAAATGGCGCTCACAACAATCTTGAATAAAGCACAGTAGGAAAGTTCCCAGATACATTCCAGACGACCTGAGTAGCAGAGATCAGTTGTAAAGCTAAAAAATGGGTACAAAAGTTAAAAATCCAATGGAGAACGTCCGCGAACAAATGGAAGCAGCTCAATAATTGCTTAAGCGGTCAGGGAAAGAAGCAGAGCCGCTCAACTTGCAACCACCATGACCCTACCTTTTCCGACTCGCTCTCCCTTCAGTATACGCTCAGACTCTCGGAGCTTTGAAAGCCCTCAAGCAGGATCATTCAATAGAACCAGTTTCGTCGACCTCCAGGTAAAAGAAAACTTTGTAGTGCGAACTTCGTCACCCGAACTCATGAAAAAAGGAAAAATTGCAGGAAGAACCCGAACTGGAGCTCACCAGCCGTATCCGCAGCCGTTCTCCGTCCTTTGACGACATCAGATACTTACGACGCCTTCGGGAGATTCACGAGACTCCGTTCATCGAATTTCGTGCCCCGCCTTATACTTCATACCCTGAAGGAATCAACGAGGTAGAATCGAATGATGAACGCCAGGAAACCACAGTACGCTATAGCATGGCGTTCAGTCATTCTTCTCCCATCTTTGAAGGAATTACCCCATACAACATCATTTCTCATTCCGACCCGACCATCCCAGCCACCACTCTTCTCCAGCAGCCTCCCTACCAGATGGTAGACCTGAGACATCTTCACGATGTCATGCCAGGAACCATGGCAGAGTACGTTCGTTTGCGCGATGATTTTCCAAACACCCCACGTGCACTGTTGGGATTGAGTCCCGAGCTCGTAGCCACTCATGACGCCACGGACATGCCTTCGCGGCATCTCGTGCTCAAGCATCAATATCCAGGAGCATTCAAACCCGGGCAGCGTTTTTACGCACACGGAACAATCGGTGGCGAATGGGAACTAGGAGATATTAAAGGGGAGTTTGGAAGGAAGGTATACGTAGAATGGATCGAACGCAGCAAAAGGTTGCTGGCAGTCGTCGAAATGGACCGCTGCAACATTTACCGCTCCAAGCGCGAGCGCGTGGTAACCATGTGGAAAAATATTTGCACCTACATTCGTTGATCATGAACTTACATTTTTTTGGCACGTACCATTTCTTGACAAATGCCTCCGCGTAATACTGTAAAAATATTCTTGAATGACCAGACTAGAGTGGGGAAAAGAAAAAGAAGAGTCAACCGGGGACGGTTGAAATATGTTCCCCGCGGATGTCAGACTCCCATTTAAATGGTAGTCAGAACATTGGAAAACAAGCTAAAAAGAGACTTACTTCCGAATTAGGAGCGGGCCGACCGGACCGGATTACCCGATCAATCAATCACATCAACAGATCAATAAACACGACACACAGGATAAAGCAACTCAGAACTCACCAGAATAAAGAAACTGGGGAAAGCACAGTAAAGCACAGTAAAGCACAGTATCCACAGTATCCACAGTATCCACAGTATCCACAGTTGATTAAACACAGGTAGGCACGGGCAGCAGTAAAGCACAGTTGATCGGGTGCCCTAAAAAGGAAATTGTAGAACAGTATATAAGGAGGCTGAGTTTTTGCAATGAAATCACTTTTTCCCCTTCAAATCTCTCTGCCAAAGACAAGTTATTTGTCCTAAGCACCCTAAGTGTAGCATTAGATTGTAGTAAAACACTAGGTGATCACTGAAAGCTGGTTAAAAGCACCCGGAAGTCCACCTGAAGCCTGTCAAGCCAAGATTACACCTGTCTGAATTACATAAGCAATTACTGAATTACACGCCGAAGCCTCACGAAATTAACCCACGTCACGGATCTTGCTTGGAATACACCGGTATACAAGTAAGCATCATTAGTAGCCTTCGATTGTTCTCGATTCCTACTCACGCATTCTTCTGACAGTCCACAAGCCAATTATAAGCACGAAACCACGTTGATACCTATCTGAAACCCCGTTGATACCTACCTGAAGACCCCGTACTTACGTGTAATAAGTAAATCGGTCTCATTCACACTAGAAACATCACCTAAAGTTTACTTTGTGTATTTTACGAACCACTTTGGAAGTACTTGGGTAACGTCAACCCAGTTAATCTTTCCATCTACAAAACTTTTAGTAGTTGACAAAGCGCTGCTTGGAGTTCTGCTGGTCCCAGAACGGAAGCTACAGTACGGAAGATGAGGTCGGGTCGGTCTGTTAGAAAGGTGTTGAGGTCGGGATTGTTGAGGACGTCATGTGTGTAAACCAGGCGCTGAAGGCTGGGGAAGCTACTCTCTGTGAGGGTGAGTGGATTGTCAGGGTCTTTGACACAGTAATGCTTCGCTGCTATGCCCGCACCAACGACAGTTTTATGGCATACTCTGCAAGTTCCCCAACGCACTGCCTGGAGCAAGATGCACTGCGTGATATTGCATGGGTCTTGGACAGCTTTGATGAAGGCGGATAGCTGGGCAGGATGATGGGAACGCTCGTGGACAGTTTCCGGCGCAAGTCCATGAGCCTCTGCTTTGGTGTCGAGCAATACACACCGCTCTACCACCTGAGCCTTGTTCCATAGTCCAATGTTCTTATGGCTATCTAACATGGCTTGGTTCGTGGCTGGTGTACGTCCCCCAAGACCGCCCCCACTGTCCCAGGTCCTTTCTGTCGGCCAACACCATGAAACACTTGGCAAATTCCGGGCTAGTGAGTGTCGTGCCAAAGGGCGCAAAGCCAAGAGGATCCACTGGAAGCCCAAGCCTCTCCGTGCGCTTTGCCTCTTCTACCAGCCGCTCAAGCTGCGCCTGCCGGGCTACTTTACCGGTGGCTGCCACTTCAATGTAGCCTCGGAATCTGGATCTTCTCTGCACGCCATGGTCTTCTGTGTCGGAGGGGTTATCTTCGTCTGACGTGGCGTCTGAGGCGGTGTCTTCGTCTGAGTAGTCGCCCTCACCAGGGCATGAGGCAGAAAGATGGTCATCATCATCGACGGCACTGGATCATTTATTGTGATGGGGGAGGATGCGGAGTAAGCTGAGGCTACGCTGTAAAATCCGGTAGGCAGTCTTGAGCTCGATTAATACTCGGTAGACACCATGGTGCTCTGCATGGTCATAGATCTCAAGCCGCAGACACCCAAGTTGGGATTCGAGGCCAGCAACATCTGACCTGTCCAACAGGCCATTGTCGAGAAGATCCCGCTCGATTATGGCCATTGCAGGCTCAACGACACCGCCGTAAATGACAAGAAAGATTTCCCGGCGTAGATTAGCACTGTGTGGATCGTGTTTCGCACCACCCAAGTGTATAAAGATGCAGAGAGAATCAGGAAGATGTGAATAATAGGCAAGACAGGGAAGACCAAGGTCACTGATGTACTCTTCTCCATGTGTTCGTCTTCCTGCAGAGTACCATTCGTCCGGGATGATTTTGGACGCGTTATGGCTCTGGCCGTTGAAGAAGTTGTTAACCTTGGCCATGTCGGCTGAGCGAAAGAGTAACTGAGGCTCCCCATGACACACGCAGCAATTCATTGTGTTGGACCATGAGGTGATAAGGAAAGGGGCAAGGTGGGAGAGGAGGTGCATGAAGAAGGCTAGATGAGAAGCTCTATCCACGGGCTCTTGCATACAATAGAGGTCTAAGAAAGGACCTCTGATTTGGTGTAACAAGACTGTCATCAGCAGCGTGCAGCATCCGAACGATGTGCATGAATTCCTTGAGAGCAGGACCGGCAGTCTCTTCTTCAATTCCTCCAACTTGTCCCTTGGGTTCCTCTTCGGCGATATCTTCAGCAATGGTGACCATGACTGCAGAGCCCTGCACAGTCCAGGCAGCGTCCACCAGATTTTGTGTGATTGATAAGAGAGTCGTGGGAACACATGTCTTTTCCTTTCCGACCTCCCTTCGCCAAAATTTGTATTCTCCTTCAAGCAATTTTTGCATGAGAGACATTGCTTGAAAAAGCACATCAGATTTATGCGCAAGAACGTGAAGTCACCTTGTTTGTGAGAGGTGACGAAGCGCGCCAGAAATCACTGAAGGTGAGCAGCTATGCACGCGCGACGCGATGTTGAGGTGAGGTTGAGGCTGTTGCCATACAATGTGTCAGGTTTGACGTCAAATTCTGCCCCGGCACCGCCCTTGGTTTGCCGGGGTGGAATGATGGCAGGGGACTCGTGGTCTAGTGGTTATGACGTTTGTCTTACAATTTATCAGGAGCACAAACGGTCGCCGGTTCGATCCCGGCCGAGTTCACTTTTTTGTGGTTGTGGCATTTGTCTTGCACTTTCGAGCATGAAAAAAGGTCGCCTGGCTTACTTTTTATCAAAAAGTGGTCTAGTGGTAATGACGTTTGTCTTAAGATGGGCCTCATCCATAATCGACCAATGTGTCATCACACGCCGTTTGAAAAACCTTCTTAACTAGATCTCAACGAGCAGAACGAAATCGCAAAATTTGCTTCGAGGATCTCTTCATAGTCATCCTAGGTACGTTCATAAATATTTTTGGGTCTTTTGAGCCAGAACCAAGAGCTGTGAAGCTTTTTTGCTGGGGCGATCAAAATTTTCAAGTCTTGCCATCAATACCACTAAAAAAGCTTCACGGCTCTCCGCTCGAAGTCAAAATTCTTAGGAATATTTCTAGGTACAGTAAATCACGTTCCAAAGCGATCCTCGAAGCAAATTTCCCATTCTCACTTTTCTTGCCAAGAAAACTAATTTTCATCCAAATGTCACACATTGGTCGATCATGGATGAGGCCTATCTTACAATTTCTCATGATCACAGATGGTCGCCGGTTCGATCCCGGCCGAATTCATTTTTGGTTGTCAGAACGTTCGAACAGAGTGGCTCGATAAAAAGTGGTCTAGTGGTAATGACGTTTGTCTTACAGTTTCCAAAAGGTCGCCGATTAGATCCCGGCCGGGCTCGCTTTTTCGTTGTCAGAACGTTACCGAAGCATCAAAACATTGTCTTCGAGTTCAATGAACTCTGTTACAGCTAAGTCAAAAACGATAGACGCTTTCGATTTAAAACAAAACTTCGGCCGAGCCTAGAATTCCAAAGTTTCGACTCCAATTTTCTTCTCGTGATGGGTGGGGCCCCTTGTGGCCTTGGTAGGCGGAGGGCCGTGCTCGGCCTGAAGTTTTTGTTTCAAAACGAAAACGTCTATCGTTTTTGATTTAGCTGTAATGAAAGTGGACGAAGCAACAGCGAAAATGCCACATCATACCATGTCTTACCTTCTCTGATTTTTTTTCCAGCCCAAGTGATACACGAGGAATTCGAGGCCCGAGGTCGACGGAGAATGCATTTTCGGATTCACACGCACCCGATCAGGCCAAATCCGCTGCGCAGAGACTCTGCACGTGACTCCTTTCATGTCGGGATAGCCGACGTGTCCCTTGTTCCCGACGCGATGGCCGCAGGCGTTTCTCTTCTTGTTTTCGCCACAATCGCCTCAATACTCGTACCATGGTTCTACTTGGGTATTCACAAGGCCGCCGGACAGCCCTTGACCTCCACTCGGTCTTTGCTC